AATTTTATTTTTATGTGTGTACAATCAAATCAGATCTGACTGGGTCAGGAGGCGGTTGTTCCTCCTTCTTCAGCAGAGCATCTGGTGGATTTGAACCGCGTACCTCTGGGATTGCAGTGCAGCTTCTTGCCACTAAGCCACCATAGCTCACCATATAATGGAAAATTTTTAATAAGCTAAAGTGATCTAAAAGAATATGGAAACCATGAAATATCATTATTATCATATACACGCAAAATTTTGCTAATGATAATTAGAAAGCACAGTAATGAATCAGCTGCGCACTGCCAGAAATTCAAGATAGGTTTATAAGAGCACATAAAAAGAGAGATAATATTTGATATTATCTGATGGATCTTGGCTGAAAGCAGAGAATACCAGAAGGACGTGTATTTATGTTGTATTGACTGTGCAAAGATATTTTATTATATAGATCATAATAAATTATGAGTAACACTTTAAAGAATGGGAATTCTAAAACAATTCATGGTGCTCATGTGCAGCTTGTGTAGACCAAGAGGCAGGACAAGTGGACATAGTTAAAATCAGGAACTGTGTGCAGCAGGGTTGTATTGTTCACCATATTGCTCTGTCTGTATGCTGAGGAAATCATTCAGGAAGCCAGACTGTGTGAAGAATGTGGCCGCAGGACTGGAGGAGGACTGACTAACCTGCAGTGTGCAGATGGTAGAACCTTGCTCTGTAATAGTGAAGAGAATGTTGTTGTTGTTTGATGCCGTCGAGTCGTAGACGACTCATAGCGACCCTATGAACGAATGGCCTGAGCACTGTTCGTACATAGAGTTTTCAGAGGCAAGCCATTTAGGAAGTGGATGGCGTTCCTGCTTCCAGGCTTGATTTAGTCGGGAAGCTCCAGCCAACACTGTCCACCATGGGTACCCATTACCACGATTGGCACATCAGTGTCACAGTCTTCAGCGTCACAGCAACCACGAGTTACCTCTGTACAGCAACACACAGACCAGTGCTATACCACCTAGAAGAATGTTTGACAGGAAGACAATTTGAACCTGGCCGAGGGCCACAGATGAAAATCACCTACCTTTGGCTTGGTAACATAGCTTCCTTTCCACTAGGCCAACATAGCTCTCTGTTTGTCGTCGTCATTGTTATTGTTGTTTGATGCCGTCGAGACTTAGACGACTCATAGCGACCCTATGAACAAACGGCCTGAGCACTGTTCATGCATAGAGTTTCCGGAGGCAAGCCATTTTGGAAGTGGATGCCGCTCCTGCTTCCAGGCTTGATTTGGTCGGGAAGCTCCAGCCAACACTGTCCACCATGGGTACCCATTACCACGATTGGCACATCACTGTCACGGTCTTCAGCATCACAGCAACCATGAGTTACCTCTGTATAGGAATAGCAGCACCTAATTTATGGAGATCGAAGACTGCAGCTGTCTATGTGGATTATACCACAACATCAAGAAAATACCAAAATCTTCACCATGTAAGCAATTTCATCGATAAGATTCAAGTTATTAATTATTGTGTTTTACCTGGATCAATAGTAAACACCCATGCTAGCAGAAGTCAAATCAAATGGCATATTGCATTGGCCGAATATGCTGCAAAATACCTCCTTAAAGTACTTAAAAAAACAAATAATGTCACTTTGAGGAGTAAGGTGCACTTGACCTCAACCTATGATATTCCTGTTCACCTCATAAGTATGCGAAAGCTGGGCAAATGAATACGGAAGACCAGGGAAGACTTAGTCCTGGAGTGTTTTTTAATTATGATATTAGCAAAGAATATTGAATTTACCACAGACTGCCAGAAGAATGAACAAATCTGTTTTGACGGAAGTGCATTCAGGATGTTCCTTAGAAGTAAATATGTGCAACCACTCTGGAAGGCAGTATGGCACTTTTCAAAATGTTGGAAATAGAAACACCATTTGACCCAGCAATTGCACTACTGGGAATATACCCTAAAGAAGCCAGAACTGCCAACCGAGCAGATTTATGGACACCCATGTTTATTGCTGCATTGTTCACAGTCGCAAAGAGATGGAAGCAACTCAAGTGCCCATCAACAAATTAATTGATAGAGAAACTGTGGTATAGTCACACAACGGAATACTATGCAATACTGAAAAACAAGGAACTCATAAAATAAACAAAATAGGTGACCCTAGAGGACATTATGCTGAGTGAAATATTTCCATCATAAAAGAACAAATACTGCATTATGCCACTGTTATAAAACAGGACTGATAATAGGGTTAGAGAACAACTAAGAAAAGAGGATAAATAATGAACACTGCATTGAAACAGATGAGGGAAAGATTTATTTAAAAGGAATATATGATTCAGTATTATCTGCATGACAACAGTCCAGAATAAGAGGTGCTAGGGGACGGAGAGGGAGGAAATTGTGCAACAATGAAATAATCTTTTTAAAGAGAAAAGTGAACCGGAGTGGGGTTAGGGAGGAAAATGTGCAGCAATGAATCAGTGGAAATCCAAGTTTTCTGTAAACTTCCGTTAAAATAGCAATTTAAAAAGGAAAAATAAATAAATATGAGAAAAAATTTTTTAAAAAGTATGGGATAGTCTTATGAAGCTTTGACCTATTATAAGAAGGAACCTAGAGATACACATCAGACTTTTGTCAGCATAAAAAGGGAAAAGATGGTCTCTCGCTGCAGCAACAAGATTGGGAGTGCCAGGGCACTGGCTGAACGGGGACCCTCTGATTGTTTTACGAAATTGGCACACAAGCCAGACATGGGGGAAATCGCCAGCTTCGTAAAGGC